TAACCCAAAAGAATGCCTTTCATTGTTTTGCGTTTCTGTATATACCTAAATCACAGTGATAAGCGAAGTGGCCAAGCTTCTATTCGGAAACATTAATAACGCAGTGTCGTTGCATTGTCTCCGTCACTCTGAAAAAGCTTCTATTTGCACAGCGTTGACTCTACGATGCCTCCCTCAGGTACCGACAGTCCGCACCATGAGAGTCCTGCTCGTGCTCCTTCTCTGCGTGGCGGCAGCTGTTGCCACCAAGCGCACGTTCGGCAGTTACGGATACGGCCGGCCCCTCATTGGTTACGGCCACGGAATCAGTTACGGACACGGAATCAGCTACGGACACGGCATTGGCTACGGCGGATTCCGTCCGTTCGGCTTCGGCTACCGTCCGTACGGATACGGCCCGTACGGTTTCGGACGGAACTCCGATACGGACATCGAGGCGGAGGAGCCGGCTGCTGAGGCGGCGGAAAAGGCGGCAGAAAAGGCGTAAACTGCGTTTTTTAGGATCAGAGGCTGTTCTAATCCCCAGCCACCGCCAGAACTCATATGCGTGCTTCATCATGTTACTGAATCTCATATATATGTTTATCTGTATCTGTACTCACCAAATATATTGACTAAATAACTAGTACGGTAATGGTATTGTTTTGTTCCTGAAGTAACCGGCGTGGAGGTCGAAACGATTACCAGTGGCGTTTTTTATTGCGTTCAAACGACAAACGTCATGTAGGAGTGGTGCGCACATGTGGCGGAAAGTGTATCTGTAAAAATTTAGCAGAATTTGCCTTTCAATAAAGAAATGTTTTTTATTAGGAAGTCTCCCATTCCATTTCATAAGCCAGGTCGCATTATCAGTAATCACCAACAATCCTTGATCGGAAACAGTCGATAACTTCGCAATATGCAACCTACAAGTGACAGCAACCCAATCCGAACCAAGTGAACGTATGGGAGAGGCCTGGGTAGCAAATGATCCCATATTATCTGGCACCGACACACTTTGAAGCGAAATCGATATCGCCACCAGACACCCTTCAACTCTTCCCAAACTGATTTAACACTGCTCACAAAAGTCAGAGACTACGGTAGGTCGACAGGAAAGCACGTAACAGGGACAGCACGATTTGCAATTGAAGAAACACAATGTGTTCAAAATTGTTATACTGTAAGATTCTGTCATCATTCAAAATTCTTCTATCAAGATGCATCAAACCTAAATCCTTTGCAATATTTTAATGATAGATGAAATTGTTTAAGTATTCCTTTAATTTACCCCTTTATCATTTTTTTTGATGCACTGATAAAAGTGATTGAACTAAATTTAAGTCCAGAAGAAGAGCCAATAAATCAAAATGAAGGATTTGTAATATGAAAACGGCTTGCTTATCTGTACATACAGTTCTGTGTTACAGCACAACAGCTAGCTCAACAGCTCATTTTTCGTAACTTGTAGAAAATAAGGACACCAAAAATGATGAATTCAAAATCGACAAATTTTCAACCAGATTTGTAGCAATTATAAATCTGTTAGTGGTGAAAAAGAACATATAACCGAGTTGATATGTAGTGGCAAGATACGTCAGTGACTTATCCTTTTGTTGCCATGCTTTTTATTGTCATGTGTCATGACCAGATGTTGTTGACCTAACTATAACAGTAGCTTGAATAAAGCTGACACAGATGGTTAAATATAATCGTTGTCAACTAATTTGAAGTAAAGGGATATTTTTTTGTGTTTTGATGAATGTGATTTGTGAACCAAACATGATACCTATTTTGGCTATTGTGGAAAAGTTACTGGGGCTTTACGGTCTACTCAACTATGTACATTTGAAAGGCCCGTTATACGTACTTTTTTTTAATTTTTTTTTTAGTTTTTTTTCATATATTTTCACAATCACACGATATTTGCACACTTACACCTTATTGTTTCACTTTCCATTTGCGTTTAATGCACCTATGCCTTCCTGCCCCGCCCCGCATCGCCCCGCGATTGACACACATGCCCGTCCTCGCTGGGGCGATGCCCCAGGCCGCCGGCCGGGCCCGCGACCCGTCACCCTGATAGGTTGGCGAGCCGCGCGCCCGGCCGGCCGGCCGACCCTTAATAGTGCCGGCCTCCGGTTAGCCGGGTTGGGTTAGGGGCGGGCAGTGCGCATATGCTGCTTATTTATCAGCAACAGCTCACTCAACTCACATGCATAGCACAAGATACAAGATACACATGATGCGCGAGGAGCATACTAAGCAATGCATACTACAAAAGGATGCACTGTGCGATCGTCTGTGCCGATTGAAACGCATCGTAATCCTTATTTACCGATTCATCACCATGCTATGTATGTCCCTGCACAAGAATATGTTTTGCCACTTTTCAATAAAGGCTTTAAGGGTGTCACTGACAAATGCTGCATGTTTTTCTACCCTCACTTGATGAACAACCGTGGCTCGAGCCCCTTCATAGGATGGTTTTATCTGATTGTGCCGTAGCTTACAATTAGCGATGTATTGTTTGATAAGCAAGATTATAAGATTTACTGCATTACGGCCCTCTTCTATTCCAAAAAGCACATGTTTTACGTTATTGTGTTCAGACATACCTAGACCCTCAAAAACTTTATCCCAGATATGGTGAACAGTGAAACATTCGTAAAAGAAGTGCTCCAAATCATCTTGCGAGCCACATTCTTGACATAAAGGGCTGTCGATCAATTGTCTAATGCATAAATATCTTCTCGTCGGAATGTATCTGTTCAATACTCTATATTGGAAAGACTGCAACTGAGTCGATTTGGTACATTGATACGGAATTTTGAACAACTTTTCCCAATCCATACTGTCATATCCTCTTTCCTCCCACCTTTTAACTGCCTTTGGCTTTTTACAAGGCATTCCGTATCTGTATAAATGACGGGGGCGTACTTCGGTTATGCGTATTTCGCGATCGTTCACACGAATGATGGGATCTTCGTTTCTTTCTTCAGGGGACAAGGTTCTGACCGCTGTATTTGTAAGGATCGTTTTCCAGTGATTTGGAATTGCTCGCAGTATCGTTTCATATGTTAGGAAGTCTAATCGCAGAGAAGGCAGTTTTTCTTTTAAATTTTGCAGGCTCATAAAGGAGCCATTTTCTCTTGTTATGTCACCAACAAACTTAATTCCGTGCCTGTATAAGCATGGAATAAATATTGTCTTTCTGTGCACTTGAATATTTCGGTTGTACCATATCATTTCCATCTGTATCGACTTGACGCTTTCTACCTCCTTGCATTTGTAGTCCTGATATAGGATTAAAACATCTTTATAAAAATGTGGGATGTTCATTCTTTTAATGTCTCTTATGCTTAAACTGCTTCTGATTAAATCACGAACGCTCATATCACCAATCCTTGCCTGCAATATCACACACCAAGCTGATGACTGATTTGTGTACATACGTCGAATCCATGCACTTCTTAGCGATATCATAAACGCCTCTATGTCTATTTGTCTTAGCCCTCCATGTTCGATCTCTTGAACCAGTGTATCTTTGGCTACTTTTGGTGGCCTACCTCGCCACACAAATTTCATGATTTTACTTTGTATTCTACACATCATTCTTCTTGGAACTTTCGTAAAAGCACTGAGGTAGACTAATTGCGAGGCAAGTAATGTCCTGGCAATTGTTATTCTGCCTTTAATGGTGATAGTTCTTTGGCTCCAGATATTAATTGTTTTTTCAATCTTTTCTGTAACGGGCTCAGTATTTTTTCTTAAACAATTCTCTGACGCGCTAAACCACGCTCCCAAGATTTTTATTTCGCGAGCTGCTTGTATCCTTCCTATTGGGTCTCTCCTTTCCTTTTCCTTACCTAGCCACATTGCGTGACATTTGTCAGAATTAAGCTGTAGCCCTGAAGCTTTGCCAAAATTTTCTATAGTCTGCAACGCTTGTACGCTAGACTGCTTATCATTTAGAAGCAGTGTTATGTCGTCGGCGTAAAGACTTATCTTTACTTCTATCCCACTTGTAGTAATCCCTCGTATATTCGGGTTTCTTCTTATGTTAATGGCCAATATTTCAACCGCCAGGACGAACAGAATCCCACTCAGGGGAGATCCTTGAAACGTCCCACGTTTACAATCGATCCATCGGGATATGTGACCGTTGTTCATTATTGTTAACGAAGCATTACAATAAAGAAGGCGTATACGTAAGAAGCCGTTATACGTACTTATTGGCTCGTAATGCGTTTCTGACCGAGTATTGGAGCTGACCTTTGTTTTCTTTCCCTTGTGAAGCGAAATGGCGTTTTTTTCCTGACCTCTTGTTCAAAACCAATCGCCTGAGGTTTTTCTCACATACCCCTTTTGCGCTGTCGTGGCCGATACTAATCAATTGGTGGGTGGGAGGTATTGGGGATGGTTAAATATAAACTGAAGGCAGGCCATATTTTGCCTAGCCTGTGTGTATAAGCTGCTGTGTGAATAGGACTCGAATACTCGTTCTGTGTTCGCCCGAAATCAGGCAGCTAATTCAGGGTGGGGTCGTGACTTCATGGACTGCTTGTGTAAAAATGCAAGTGTCAGCAAGGCCGTTCCGTCGCTCATTACGTTGTAAAAAACACTTTAACTCCCGACGTTTCGCTGTTTACTGCTTAGTCATTGGACTGCTCAGAACACCAGCACACCTCCAGGCATTTCTGTCCGAGTCTTACGTGTCTTGGTTCTTGTGACAAGCAGGCAAAGGAAAATTTGTGTGTTTCAAAAATTACCATTTGAAATAGAAAAGGATATAAACCCAATGCTGGTGTCTTAGGCTGAGCAATCGTTTATGGCACCATTTTTCGTTTTCATCCCATTCATCTCCATTAGCAACAAACGAAAAACAGTAAATAATATGATGTTCGATATACTTCGATTTATTTGGTGAGTACATATGCTTATGTGACAATGGAATGATATACAGGAGGGCGATGATCACAGAAGCCTGCGGTGTTGAGTGTGATAAACAGTCTCTTACAAACGCAGTTTACGCCTTGTCGGCCGCCTTCTCCGCCGGCTCGGCGGCCGAGCCCTCCGCCTTGATGTCCGTATCGGAGTTCCGTCCGAAACCGTACGGGCCGTATCCGTACGGACGGTAGCCGAAACCGCCCGGACGGAATCCACCACCCACTCCGATTCCATGACCGATGCCGTGGCCGATTCCGATTCCGTGGCCGATTCCGTGGCCGATTCCGTGACCGATTCCGATTCCGTGACCGAAGCCACCTCCGCCAATGATGGGCCGTCCTCCGAAGCCTCCTCCGATGATGGGTCGTCCTCCGAAGCCTCCTCCGATGATGGGTCGTCCTCCTCCAATGAAAGGCCGTCCTCCGAAACCGCCGTATCCACGGTTGTCGGCAGCAGCCACGGCCACGAGCACAAGAGCCAGCAGAACCCTCATGGTGATTGTATGATGAGACCTGATGTAGCAAAATGTCACACTTCATATCCAAGCCGTTGCGTAGACTTAACGTTACTTGACTAATTAAAAAAATGTATTCAAAATGAAGGCACTACATTGCAATGAAATTATTTAATGTTTAGGCAAGGAGGCCCAAGGAGACCCAAAGCTTAAAACAATTTTTTTTTTTTACTAAAGTCAAACAGAGTGCATGTGGCTGCGGTGATGAATTCAAGGTCGTTGGTAAGAAGACATTGTTTCAAGTACACAAACGACAAAACAGTGCAATTCAAATCTTTATATCTATATTTCGCAGACGTTTCAACGACAAGGCGTCTTGTCGTTGAAACGTCTGCGAAATATAGATGTAAAGATTTGAATTGCACTGTTTTGTCGTTTGTGTACTCGAATTCAAGTTCACAAGTTTATGAGATGAACTCGAAAAAGGAAAAGGAGATTCGTATATTTGTCAGGGCAGGAGCATTCGTACTACCCACTTATAATACGCAAAAAGGCAATTATTCCTCAAAATATGACCAACATGAATGAAGTGTCTATACTTCAATTCTTGGAAACCACTGCATTCGGCAGGAGTTAATGAGCTATCAATGAGTTGCTGAGCTGCTGTTATGAGTGTAATATATTGAGCAGGAATTCATCAGCACGCTTTCCAAGCTTTGAAAAAAAAATTGTTCCTATTTTCTCTGCTCACCTTTTCCTTCAACAGAGGTGTGAGAACTGATGCTCGGAGTAGGTCTCGTGGTGTTTATATTCTAGTACGACACACTGTGTAGCTTTGCGGTCGATTACGATTCACCTGGAAGCGGCATGCGTTAGGCAATACTCACTAACCTTAATTCATAGACAGGTCAATGCCATGACTGTCGTACAAAAATGTGCTTGCCGGCTCCGCGCGTCAAATGGACTCCTCGTATGGAAGTTGAACCGGACCTGAGGCATTTCGCTCGAGTATCACAACGGTCGCGAAACCCTGAGAGATTAGTTCTGAATCACGTTAATGCGGTATTTCTTGACACGCAATTGCTGCTTGGTACTATTTCGACATGTCGGTCTTGACTCTTAGTCAATCCTTTATGTCTCATCTCCGGAATAATACTTTGCTTGCTGTGGTCTCAGTATATCTGGTGCGTGTGTGCTTTGTGTCATACATGTACGTACGCTGGGATATGGAATAAATTACAGAACTTATACAGTGTTAGTGAATTTGGGTGGGCTTAATTCCTCAAATATGAAATTTATTGAAAGGTATCTTTGGTCGTCTAATATAAAAATACATTTGTTTTGCAAATAGAGTATATTGCCCGAAAGTTCAATGCCTACCTTGTCTTGCCATCGAAGCTGAACTCAAAATAACATCAGCATTATAGCTTTCGCTAATATCTACCCAGAGATTGAGCGCTGCCCCTCCTAGAAGTTCTCAGCTTAGCCATTAGCTTTGCTTTTTTTTCGATTTACGAGTAAAGCTTCAATTCATGCCGCCTGCTTTCTATGTAGATGCCTTTCCACCAATGAATTAAGATTACTTTGTGGGCCTAGCTTGTGTCATCAGGCGTCCTTAGATTGTCCAAATTACCCTGATCGTATAAAAGGCCTGGATAGCAGTTCGACAAACTGGAGCATGAAGTCTTTTTTCACCTACCTACGTCACGACCAAGAACAGAGTATGAAACATTTCCATTTTGTTTTAGATGTTTTACATTCAATGCTTCACGCAATATACGTTTAAGAGATCATAAAAGGGTCAAGTACGGGTTCAAGGTCAACTTAGGTCGCCTGAAATTATTGTGGCATTCGTCTGTCTCGTGCAATGCATCAAGACATATAATTAAGCAGGAACCCTTTTAGTAGCAGGCTCCTGGCAAGTGGCAGGCCGATATTAGTGGTAAGGGGGCTGTTTAGCCCCCCCCCCCACCCTTGACATCTCGAGATCTAACCGACCGATTTTTAAAATTCGAACGGCATTCGATTCCACTCAACGAGATCTACATCTATTAAAGAAGAAAAGTCCCATAAACGCTTGGGGACCCATAAACGTTTGTTCACTTGTGAGCTTGTAATACCTACAAATAGTGATGTATAATAGTGATGTATAATACCTACAGAATAAATAACTACAGTTATAATGCATCATCAGCGTGATCTTCCCCCAAATGGCTCGATAGGACCTCCCAATTTTCCATGCTCTGACACCCCTTCTGATAAAGGTATCAACTTTATATTTCAAGGGAATGTACCCAGTTTAGTTTAGCAATAAGTCAGAAACTTTCAGCTTCCTAGCTCCAGATGTTTTGAAGATATTCCCGAAAAAAACCTGAGGGGTGGATGGAAATAAACCCTGCCTCTAATAGGGTTAAGCAAGCATTGCAAAAATGCACCGTGCACGTACACATGCATATATGTACCTACGTTATTCGTTCCTTACACACACCAACACAACTGAAAGTGTTAGGTGCTGTTATAGATGAGAGCATCATCGACATGATATGTACACATAAACAGCATGTCACAGAGCTGGAAACTATAACTCCGTGTTTTCTGGCTAAACGTGATATCCGAATTCAACTCCTAACCAGTTTGGTTGAAGCCAGCTGGTTGCAGGCGCGCTTTACTCAAGAACAAAAGGTTATTGGCTTCGCGTTTCGTTCGTCATTTTGCAGTTTGCACCAAAGGATGCATAGAATGGCAATAAGAAGCCAATTTTCAAAACAAAGCTTAAGAGCGTAAGGCAACAACTGTATGATAAGCCTCCAAGTGGTCATTGATAAACAGCAACATTGGTGCACGAACGTTCTTCGTAAAACAAGATGTGACAACGAATTCAAAGGGAGGAGTGGCGCTGCCCAGTGCCCACATGGCAGTGATCAGTGAATTTAGCATAAGCGAGTAACTGATGATCGTAATAAGGCAATAAGCTGAGAAGCCCCCGTTCCGCACCATTCTTGTTGACCCAGCTTCAACGACTTGTACTATCAGACTCACTTTCTTCTGCGCTAAGCCCATGACAATGGACTGACCTGGCCCAGCACTAAGGCTGGGTGTGTGTAACGCCGTTAGAGCCGTAAGAACAACCGGTCACAGGGTGCACGATGAGTAGCTACTGGTATATAAAGCCGGTGGGCGGAGGATCACGGCATCAGTTCACATAGTTCACTCCCAGGTGAGCAGAGTTGGCCTCTTCGTGAGCATTTTAATACACCAACAAAATTTTATATGTATATAGTGAAAGCAGGTCCATTCATGATCTCGTTGCAGTAATATCAGTTTGCTCCTATATTGTGTTATCATTTTTTATTCCACTTTCCCTATCTATACCAACATTATTTTTTCAATGCAGTAATATCAGTTTGCTCCTATATTGTGTTATCATTTTTTATTCCACTTTCCCTATCTATACCAACATTATTTTTACAAGATATTCTTATGAGTTTCTGAGCTCTAACGCAGCTGCTTGCCTCCAGGTCTCAACCAACAGTCACCATGAAGGTTCTACTGGCTCTTGTGCTCGTGGCCGTGGCCGCTGCCGACAACCGCGGATACGGCGGCTTCGGAGGACGGCCTTTCATTGGAGGAGGACGACCCATCATCGGAGGAGGCTTCGGAGGACGACCCATCATCGGAGGAGGCTTCGGAGGACGACCCATCATCGGAGGAGGCTTCGGAGGACGGCCCATCATTGGCGGAGGTGGCTTCGGTCACGGAATCGGAATCGGTCACGGAATCGGCCACGGAATCGGCCACGGAATCGGAATCGGCCACGGCATCGGTCATGGAATCGGAGTTGGTGGCGGATTCCGTCCGGGCGGTTTCGGCTACCGTCCGTACGGATACGGCCCGTACGGTTTCGGACGGAACTCCGATACGGACATCAAGGCTGAGGAGCCGGCCGCGGAACCGGCGGAGAAGGCGGCCGACAAGGCGTAAACTGGCGTAAGCTAGCCTACGCCCACCAAGCGTCGGTGATCATATTCATCATGGAGCATATTCTATAGCATCATTTTTCATATATGTACTCGATAAACATATTCTATGCAGTCAATGCAATCGTTATTCATGTTAATGCGTAATGGAGCGCATGTAATACATTTTACTCAACTCTATGGCTGTCTTTTACAAGGACTGGCTTACGAGACTTGCTACCCACCTGCATAGCAGGTCGCCGATTCTCACTTAGTCTTTTGCCAGTTGACCTTCTCCCTCTATGTTTATATCTTCACTTATTCGGGAAGCTAGTCTTCAAAACTTATTCAGAACAACATCCTAAGCAAAGAGAGCTCGTTTCCATCAACCTGTGTATCGCTGAGGGAGGGTTCTGCAGAGTAGGGCCCTTCTGCAATATCTCCTAGACCACTATGTAGAGCAGTTGTCTGCTGGCCCCCGGGTGGTGCCTCCTTTTTGGACACAACGCAGGGCCATTACCCCACTTATCAGACCATATTGCTTGCACAGCTGATATTCCATCTCTTTCGGTGGCTTTATTTTCTGCATATCAAATGCTATACAACATACTCCCCTGCACTCATACAGATGTGTGCAGGTAGTAGGGACCCTTCCAAAAAAAATGAGCCATTCCGTCTAACTTTTCACAAATTACTAGCGCTATGAGAAGCGTATCACAACAAATCTTACCGTTCCTCCGAGTTGAACATTTTACACTTAACCCGCGCCCCAGTGGCGGTCTCAGCCAACTTCGTCCTAGTGGGGGGGGGGGGGGCATATGTTACCACCCACCTCTAACTCAAAAACTAAGAGGGCTAGAAAGACGCGGTAAAAACAGTCGATAGCTCTCAATGCGTACGTTTGAAAGTATTTCAGTCATTTTTCATCGTAGAGCAATATTGGGGTCACCAGAGGTCATCAAAGGTCAAAATTTGCCAATTGTCATTATATTTTTCAGAAAACATGCCCTTATCTCAGTAACTATGGTAGCTAGAAAAACGCATGGATAAGCAATCAATAGCTTTTAAACTCTTCTTTTGATAAGGTTATTATGAAAATTGACCTCAGGTCAACGGTTTAGCCTCCAGAGGGCAAAAACTCCAAAAATAGCTGTTTTTTCGAAGTGTTTTTCGACAATAACTTTCGGCTTAAAAAATCCACATTTCTATTGCCAGAATCGTGTTCCTCTCGCCGAGACGCGTCGATTGAACCATAATTTGACCTTGAAAGGTCAACTTGAAAATTTGACCTGAGTTCAAGGTCATGACCTGACCGAAAAAGGTCATGTTGCATATCAGTTGATGCGTCTCAACAAGAAATACACAATGAGACCATCCACAACGTTCTTTCTGTTTCCAATCGCGAGTTATTGGCAAAAATCTGTTTGTAGCCTCAAATGACCTCGGATGACCTTTCTAGAGGCTATCACCAAAAAATGACACCCTGGTCATCACGGGTGGTCCAAATCATTGTGATTCTGAAATATTTGGACTGTTCCTATGCGTGCATACGGATCTAGAGGAATTTTCATTTTTCTCCATTGACTTGTAATGGAAAGGTCACGCCACTGACCTGACCTTAGGTCACGGATATAAAAAATCCGAGATATACAAATTATAGGCGCCCATAACATCATGAAATCCACCAAGCTTAAAACCTCTCTGACAAACACTGCAGGCTGGACATGATTGCAAACTTTTTTTAGGCTTGGTCAGTTAACTTGACCTGGTGACCTGACCTGACATGACCTGGGGTCAACAATTTCACACATTGTCCAAAATTGATGTACAAAAAGCTACCCCAAGCGGCGCGGCGCACACGCAAAAAAATGCGACAGAACGGTAACCCACGCCG